TATATATGTATATGTATATATAGGTGCTCCGATAGTTCTGGTGCCCTCTAGTGATCGTTACAAGATATTACATCCACAGGTTGACCTCTGCTCATGAATTTGATAGCTATAAACTTGTTTGGTTACATGTTCACATTAAAGGCAGTCAAGTCTTCATCTCTTCATGTTGAGATTAAAGCCAGCAGGTGTTAGCACGCCRACCCATTCATGCTGACATCTTTACTGGTGGTTATCCCACTACAGCCTACGTGTATTTACAGACCCTTGAGGTTGACAGCCCATCAGCTCCGATCAGAAGCCCCTCTTAGATTCTGTTGGAGTAGAGAGAGCTCTTGCATCACGCTCCCACTTTCAAAAATGGAGGGAAAAAATTGGAAATCTTTTCAAAGCGAGCCTCCCATTATGCTTTATTAGCTCAAGCACAATCTCATGACAAAAATGCAGGAAAGTGCAAGAGCTGAGATTTGTTAAAACTGGTTACAAAATACAGGTTTTACTTTTGATGCTCCAAGGTTGCCGCGATCTTCTTATAAACCATAAAAAATTGCCTGTTTTGAACACATTTTAATCTCAGAGCTGAACTGGGTACACTTCTTGGGCAGCATGTTCAGCTATTTTCAAACATTTTATTTTTAATTGTTAGTCTATAATTTGAGACTGATCACAGGATATAATTCACTGCAATATCCAAACAAACAAATGAAAAGCTTTGTGTGTACAGTAGCAAACATTTTATTACTAAAAAGCCGTTTTATACCGAAGGTGCTCTTTCAGCAGCGTTTCCACAACTATTTATTATAATCACAAGATTGATTTTACCACTTCATGTAAAGAAAAAAGAATTAAACATACACAAAACAGGAACCATGGACTCTATGTACATTATTTAGAGGGGGAGGGTCATAAGTGTGGCTTCTTTAGGCTAGCATTATTTTGTTTGGTGTTTTCACACACCAGGCTCAAACAGGAGGCACTTAAATGTGAGAGCCTTTAGCTAGGACCAAGCCAGAGTGCAGCAGGGAGAGGAAGTAAAACAAACAAACAAAAATAAAAAATACTATCTGCTTTCAAAATTAAAAATCATAAACTAGAAATGCATAAATTTTCCTTCAGGTCAGGCCTCAATGTCAGAGGCTGCAGAAACACGAGGGACACTGGTTGCAGAAACGGAGCATTTACACAGGCCTGCACCACAGAGCACAGAGGGTGCACATTCTAAAGCATGCAGCGCCCCATGATGAGCAACATGGTTAAAAACAAACGATGGATTCTGAGGTCGGCTTTCATGACAGAATTTAACTGTGTGCTGCTTGATATTCTTAATGTAATAGACATACATTATTTACAGGAATCGTTTCTCTTTAATCATCTGTCACTCCAGTGCCAGGTAAATAATAAAAAAATGTTTAACTGCATTGCAGGGTAGGAAGTTTACAAAGAAAAATGCGAAAATGTGTAACTTTGACAATGGCTACAATTTCAATGAACTATTTACAATAAAATAATTATGTATCCATTACCAAAGTCCTGTTGAAGAACAAAACACAGTGGTTTTCTAAAACAATGTATGTAGGTGGGTTGCCTCGCTGCAGAGTTCCTATCAGAGCTGCTTTAGTGGTCGGTTCTGTCCGCCTGATGTGGGAGCGTTTGGTGCGTTCAGAGTCAGATCTTCTCCTGGATGAAGGGGTGCTGCAGAGCCTGGTTTATGCTGATGCGTTTAGCTGGGTCCAGCATCAGTGTGCTCTCCAGCAGGTCCTTCAGCTGCATTACCTTCTTCCTCTGGTCCTCAGGCAGTCGCTGGCCTCCTATTAATTCTGCCAGCAGGTCTTTGGTAGGGTTGATGGTGCTCATCACTGTCACCTTCTCCTGTTTGCACACAGCAGAAAAAAAAGGAGTTATGTCAAAACTGATCAAATTGCTTTATGATTTATTTATAAAATACTATATGCTACAAGTGAGCTGATAAAAAAAATATAGTGTAAGCTTGAAGGTTTTCTTACCCTTTCGGTCACTTTGTCTACTTCAATGTACAGAAAGTTCAAGTTCTGATCAAAGTGCTGGTCTTTGAACAATCCTTTCCGGATCATCTGAAGAAAAAAATCCATAAAGTTGCATCACTTCTTGAGCACAACACAGAACAGCAACACTTCTCCCATTATCCCAAGAAGAAACTGAACTGATCTGATGCAATGTTACCTTGTTGGGCATTTTGCCCTTCAGGTCCATTGCCAGCTTCAGCATGTGATTGTTGGAAGACCCAGGAAGCAGGATTCTGCCCGAGTACAGCTCGTACAAAGTGCAGCCGACAGACCACATGTCAATACCGTAGTCATAAGGCTTCCCTATGACTGAGATAGATGTTTTTAGTAAAGCCTGAATTAAACAAAACTTAATTTATGGTGAAAATACAAACTGCTCCTACTTACTAATTTCAGGAGCTCGGTAGAATCTGCTGACAAGATACGGTGTGATGTCATTGTCAGCGACATGTGAAGCAGAACCAAAGTCACAGAGTTTCAGAATGGTTTTGGACTCGTTGACCTTTTAAAAAGACAAATAATTTAGCACGTTACATGTGACGCTGTCATTTTTAATATTCTAGAAATTTGAGTTGCGTTTCAACGGTACCAGGATGTTGTCTGGCTTGATGTCAGCGTGGAGGATGTTGCAACGTTTGAGCAGCTTCAGAGCCAAGAAGAGCTGCTGGCTGTAAGACCGCACAGCTTTGATGTGGAGTCCAACATCTTTGCCGTATTTCTTCAGCACCTCTCGCAAATTCATACTACAGATGAGACGTGAACAGGCGGGGTAAAATAAACGCTGCAATCATCACATGTCAAAAGATGACCACKCTCCCTTTTAGTACCTAAGAGGCTCAAACACGAGACAAAGATGCTGCTTGTGGTAGAAGTGTCGGAAGAGGCGAAGGCAGTGGAACTTGTCATCGGGATCGGCGTCGTTCAGCTTCCTGAGGAATTCTAACTCTTTTAAACCCGTCTTCTGCCTGTTTATCACAAACACATTAGAAATGAGAAAGATACATTTAAATATGTAGTGTTGATAACCATAAAACAGCTAYTTATTGTTCCAGAGTTTGACTCACATCAGCTCATTGTTTCTGATGATCTTGACTGCCACCTCCTGGCCAGCCCTGGCAGTGTCCCTGGCTCTGATTACATTGCTGAACACTCCCTGACCCGTGTAGCCGTAGACGTCATAGCGTTTGTCTAATGTCTCTCCAATGTTCACCCCTATAGCAGCACAAAAACCACAAATGTATTCATGAAAAAATGTGTATGATTAGTACAGGGGTTCCCAAACTTWTTCATGCCATGACCCCGCCCCAAACAGCATTATCTTSTGGCCGGGGACCCCCCTTGTAAACCCAGAAACTTTTAGAATGTTTTATATTCACTATTCAATAATTATTACATTTGCTTAGCTTAAGAATTTTATTAACCAACATGTTTTAAAGATGTATTATTATATTCCCACTAAGAAAACAACTTTTCAACAAATTTCAACACATTTATTCTAAATATTGTAAAATAATATACTAAAAACAGATTCGATTTTATGATAATGATTTGAAACAGTAGATGCATTTTTTTCTTATTTTTTTCTCTCATCTTCCCTTCAGTTTTCTGGGGTCCCCCAGCACAMTGCGGACCCCACTTTGAAAAACAAAGAATTAGTACACACTGTATGCTGCACGATAGGGATGTCCTGATCCAGATTTTGTGGCTCCTGATACAATCTGAATTTTTTAATGATTAGACTTTCCGATACCGATCCGATATCTTTATTTCTTTCTAAGTGACAAGGTTGGTAGTATTAAAGCGAGCCCTGCTGTTCCCACCACAAGAAATATCCAGTTTGCAGATTTTGCAAGMTGCAGTTTCAGCATCATTGTTTTCTATTGAAAAGTGTTCCCACACTGTGGACATGGTTGCATACTTGTGTGCAKCTACACTTCTTAATGGCAGTTGTAAAGCATGATGATGCTGAAAACTGTCGTGAAAACTGGATCGACCCGATCACATGACTAAATCTGATTCTACCCAATTTTCAAAAACTGGCCATATCTGCCTCAGATACTGAAACTGAGTATCTGATGGGGACATCCCTGCTGCACAATAGTACTGCCACAGAGCTGTTAGAGAGTAAACAGTATCTATAATAATACTGCATGTTTATTTTGAAATATCGGGAAGTATTTGAAAGCACTTACTGTAGTACCCTTCAGCATCAGTCCAGTTGTCCCTGAGGTTTGGGTTCTCCTTGAAGTCCTTTCCAACTCCAGCTGCTCTCATCCTGGCACTCTGCAGAGTCAGCACAAACAAGGTCATGGTGTGTATCCATGGTTTTTTTTATGAAACAAAAAGTCAGTTTATAGGATGTTAAAATGCAAAGGGTGCCACTCAAGACTTAACATTTTGATACTCACATCAAAATGAGCAGCAAACATGTCGTCTGACTCTATAAACATGTCAGGGGCTGAAGGCTTCTTTGGGTTGGCTCCTGAAACAAAACGGCAATAAAACAAACGGACCACAGCACAAGATGAGTTCCTCAGCTCACACACCACATCTTAAAACAGTATATCTGGAACATGTGTTTGATTCACATACTCTGCAGAGATCAAAACATGCTGCAGGAGGCAGACACAACCAGGCTTTGGAATACAAGCCAGCAACTGAATGAACATATGACAGAAGAAAAACACAAAATTATGACCCCTGCATCACAAAACTGCCGTTCTCACACAGAGCATGCCCATCATTTTCTGCACKTTCGTGTACTTTGGTCACTCTTTAAGGTGACACTCTGTGCCAATATTTAGGAAAAAGGTTTACTGTTCAAGCAGTAAGACAATTATGTTTTTATTGACCAGACTGCAGCTTTATCAATTCACCACTGTTTTTTCTCCAGCGAACCATGAAAGCATTAAGGTCCTGGCACGCTATTTTAGACAACTTTTGAAAAGTTGTCCAACACTAAAGATGTCTAAGCTAAAGATGGGAAAAGAGAAAAAAAAATCTAACTTTTTGATTTATGCATTCTGTAATACTAACAATTCGATCGACTATATAATAAATATGTGCAAAATAGTCTAAACAAAATTTTCAGAAGTTGGCACAAGTTGTCTAAAACAGTGCGGCAGTGCCTTAAGGAAAAACTTCATGATTAAGGGRAAAAAATGCTAGCTGCTTTCTTCCTTGTTCCCAGAAGGCTGTGTTCTTCAGCAGCAGATAAAGTGACTTGGGCRTCCTTTCTACCAATAAGAAAAGGCCTCAGTGGAAAAAAAAAAGTCTTCTGGATCTACCCTGGAATAGCTTTAGACAGCTTGAAGTCATGTGACCACTAGCAGTGAACAATGGAGCACATACAATGGTGTGGTTCATTCAGTTGGCCTTGTACGCCAACACAACTAGATCTTTTAACCAGGAAATTACCATCTTTCTCCTGGGCGATGAGGTTGTGCTTGGCTTTGATGCTGGCCTCGAAAGTGTTGACATTCTCGCGTTCGTACTCCTTTACATCTGCAGCTACTCGCTCCAGTATGTCATCAGGTGAGGGCGAGCGGCTACGCGTGCTGCTCTGAGGACTGCTGGGCTCAGACACCAGGTTGGTGTCTTCGTTCAACACTTTGTATTTCTGTGCAACAATAAAAAGCAACGAGGAGAGTTTGAAGGGAGATCGGCTACAAAATGCTTTTCTCTTCATCGGTCAGTTTGTTAGGGAACAGACCTGGACGATAGCCATGCGCTGCTGTCGCCGCTGCTCAATGAGGGCCTCTTCATCAATCTCCTCACCCTCAAAGTCCTCCAACCTGCAAACAACCAGAATCAGAGAAACAAAAATACATATTTAGGCTCTAAATTAATAAGAAATAAATCATGTCCAAATGAAGTTTATTAAGAGACTATTTGAAACTGAATATTATTTACTGGACACCCTTAAATCAAGATGATTTCCAGTTTGCTTTAGAACACATTTCAATGAAAAAAATAAATAAACACAGCAACAATGGTGGACTGAAGACTGCAAAATTAGTAGATTTAGCAGGTGTCCAAATGCATATACAAATACAATTATTTAAAGAAACAAAGAAAATATTCACATATTTTAATGTGCAAACTAACTTYGCGTGACACTATGATGCAGTTTACTTGGCATCTGAAAATACATTTCCTCAAAGGTATTTTGAATCTGAAAAGAGCTTCACTGARTGAGCAGTAAAGTTGAGCAGCAGACAGTTTAAGTTTCACTTTCACTTTGCTCTGTTACTGCCGAGAGCCTGCAGGAGTCATGGGCGGGGTGTGTGGAGTGGGGGGGTGGGGAGGTGTGCTCCGTGATGAGGAAGTTCGGCTTAAAGACACGTTCCAGGGGCGTTTCTGGTCCCCATCTGTCGTTTTGCTCCTCAGCATGGCTTCCTAAAAACGCTGCAGGATTTCTCAAACATGCATGAATGAGTCAAAGCAAGGCTTTGGGCATGTTTTTATGAGAGTATAACATTTTAACATGACATAAAACTCAAAAAAGTAGATTTTACATGGTATTGCCCCTTTAAAAATGTTTTTAACRTACGTTTCTCCCTCGGAGGACTCCTGGTCAACTTTCATTCCCTCTGAAAGGCTTCCTTTAAACTTGTCTTCGTCTCTGCTGCGTCGCCTCCGTCTCTCCCGATCACGAGACATTGAGCGTCGATACTGGCGAAGTCTACCATACCTGTCCCTCTCCCCGGACCTGCGAGTCATGTCAAGATGGATGATTAATCACTTAAAAACAGAAATTAAGACAAGTGTCCAAACCCTGCCTTTAAATATGGGAACTGTTAACAACGGGTGATTTCTACAAAAAGAATAAAAWTACCTGTGTCCGAGTGGAGACCTGCTTCGCCTGCGGGGCGAGGACCGAGAACGTCGACGTAGTGATGGGGATCTCCTCCTTAGAGGAGAGCGACTCACTCTGCGGCGAGAGGCGGACCTGGGACTCCCCTCCCGTGATCTGTCTCTGCCTGGTCCAGGATCCAAACGGGACCGTTTTCTAAAGGATCAAAGGCAAATATTCCCTGTTTATCCAACATTTGTCTTTTTATCTTCATTGTGTCATGAGTAAATGAGACTGGTTTTTTTCTTGTCTTTTGAACTTCTAGTTTTTCAAAAGAAACAAAAATGAGCAGCAACAGCAACAGGTGATGTTTGCTTCGAGATCTCCATCTTGGAATTCAAACTATAAATAACTGCTATTTACAGAATGAACCAACTGTTCAGACAACACTACAGGGACAGAYATGCTGAACAATAAGCAACAGCTCCAAAAGTCCAACTTTTGACCAACCTGAGTGGAGACTCCTGCCTGTCTGCATCGCGCCTCCTGGTGTCTGCTGAACGACTGCGGGCTCTCCTGGGGGAGGGTTTGGTTCTGGATGGAGAGTGGCTCGGTTTGGACGTCCTGTCCGAGGCACTGACAGTTGTGGGGTGGGCGTCCCTGTGACGAGGGGAAGCGCTGCGTCTTCTTATGGGGCTGTGAGGCCCTCGTCTGTGGGGGGAGCGGTTCTCTTTTCCCAACGTGTCCTTAGACGGGGACTTGGCTGGTCGTTTGTCCCGATCGGCATCGGAGCGACTTGGCCGTTCTCGAACAGGTGATCTGGATCGTCGACCTGCTCTGTCTGGTCTGACGTCTCGCGGTGGAGAGGAACGTCTATCAGCACGACTAACTTTCTGCTCAGCTCGTAAGTTGAAAGGAGAATGTGACTTTCTTCTCTCCTTGGACTGATCAGTGCTGTCTGAGCGCTTTCTGTCCTTTGATCTGCTCCTGCCACGGCCTCGGTCTTTAACACCTGTAACCTTACTGCTTTTGGTCCCCCTGTCCTGCTTTGTCTCCTTGGCGGGCTTATCTACGGATTTACTACGACTACGACGCTTGGAGCTGGATTTACTGACCTCTGCCGTCGAGTCCCGTCTAGATTTCCCACCTTTTCCCCCTCTGGGAGATATAGGTTTACCTGAGCTGCCTCTTGGATGCTGTTCTCCATTTCTAAACCTTGCATCTCCATCCTCTTCAGATCCAGAGTTATAGCCCTGGAGGATCAAACCCATGCCAGACTGAACCTTGCCCTCCATCAATTGGCTGTCCAGTTCAGCTTTGATCATGGCCCTCTGTTTCTCCAAATCCTCCAACACAGCCCTGTCGTCCAGACTAGGATTTCCGGACGAGGGAGAAGATTCCACTTTCTGTTGGCTGGAGGAGCCAAAAAGGGCGGCAGCTGACGGGGAGGAGCCCTCTTTGCGTTTGTGTTTCCTGTGTTTGTGTCGATGCTTGCGTTTGCGGTCCTTGTCTTCATCAGACACATGTTTGTGCTTTTTGTGCTTGCTGCGATGCTTGTGTTTTTTCCTCTTGTGTTTGCCACTGCTGCTGTGATGTTTGGACTTTTCATCCACCTTCTCATTAATATTTGCAGCTTCCTCCTGGCATAAAAACACAACACAATTTATTTAAATATTAGATTTACAGCAACTAGTGCTTTAACTTAAATTGCAAATCGTTGCAAGTTTTTATATACAACGCAAATTATGCTTTTTAAATTTTTATTTAGGCAAGTAATCTCATTGAGACATGTAGTCTCATTTACAAGAGAGACTTGTGATACACAACATCATTTATACAAAGATCATAAAACATGTTACCATTTCTTTAAGATGTGCTTAAAATGTCCCAGTGGGATCAAACTGGACAGACGTTGCCTCAAGTGTTACTAAATTTATCAGTTTGATCCAACGACAACAGAAGGGTTAAATAGAGTAACTACTTTAAATAATAATTTTAACCTTAATGTACAAAAACTTTTAGGATCTTATTTACCACATCTGAAGATTTAAGTCTTGCTCTTGTTCAGCCCTACCTCTTCCTCCTCCTCTTCTTCCTCTGACAAGTCCCCGCTGTCCTCATTCTCGCTTCGTTCATGGCTTTCCAGATCTTCCTTTCTGTTTGAGGAAAATGTAAAACGTCAAACAAAAACATGTTGCAAAATGATGTTAAAATTAGCAACTCGTCTCTGAATTTGCTGAAAAAAATGGCAAAAGTAGGAAACATTGTTTGGGACAATGACGTCATCAGCAGTGGTCAAACACTAAGTCTCAAAAAGTAGTACACAAAAATATTTATGTAGACATAAAACAACAAGTTAGCAAAGCACAGTCATGCAGTCTTTCTTGTACTGAAGTGCGGATACAGCTGAAGTTAAATTTATATAAGCAGTAATAAACACAGAAGTAACTTTGAGCAAATCAAGGTTACGTAATGTTCTTGATTTATCTTCAAATTGAAGTGACGCTGAGCAGAAGCTAAATATAATAAATGATGTGGCATTGACCCTCATTTATCGCCAAGTCAGTTTTACATGTTAGCCCTTCCTATAATCCAAACCGCCAAGTCAAATTTCAGCAACTAGCTGCGAATGCTAATGTCTTTAGCACACCATGCTAACTCAAATGATGGAATCGTCRCAAAATACAACTACTAAATGTTCTGAAAGTGGTCAGACATGCAGATAGTGTGAAGACAAATACGACCAAACACAATATGTACACATTTGCTCTGGGTTAAACCAAGCGTTTGGTACCGGAGMTAAAGAACATTAGCAGCTTTAGCCCAAAACGTTACCCGGTCGTTAGCATGTAATTTAGCTCGGCCGAGCGGCAACGTAAACTTGTGGTGCTTTCCAAAAATTTCAACCTTTAAATCTCTCATTTTGACATCTGGACGTCGCTTACACTTTTCAACTACCATCCTTAACGGTCTTTAATAAAATAACTCACACGTGTTCGTTGCCATTATTCATTCTGCTGGACATGATATCCATCTCCACGTCTGCCATTTTCCCCAGCTGAAGAGTCGCTCTTCTTCTTCGCTGAATATTTAGGACGGAAACGAAGCCATATTATTGGTCTGCCCCTGGTGTGCCGGCGGCGCATTGCAGACAGGAAGTGTGCCCTGGTTTTCTTTCTTTCTTTCTTTCTTTCTTTCTTTCTTTTTTTTTTTTGTTGTTGCTGTTTTTATTTTGTTCACCAGGTGGCATGGTTGTTTGATATTTTAATTTAATTTGTTCATCGTCGCTGTCGATATGGAGGTTTTAATCAGTTTAAACATTTTTCTTCTTTCTAAGTGATTATTCAAATTTGCCCAAGCACTCCCCACTGATGCTATGAGCTTGATGCTTGCAAAGTATATTTAACAGATTTCTGAACAAAGACCAAATCATGAGTTTTAAGTTTGTTTATGTTGACCACCCAACATGTGCAGTAGTGGTCTGAGGGGTGGCCAAAACATTTACAAAAGGGCAGAACAAATGGAGAAGAGGCGGCTTGTCTGCTTTACAACAGGGGAAAAAAATGTTTTTGGTTGGTTTAAATTACTKTTCTTCAAGAGGAACCCTCTTTGTCTGCTAGCAAAATACTGTATATCATGAACCACAAAAGAGAATTTAATAAAAATGTAAGAGAGTAATCTTTTGATATACTGTACATCTACAACCGTCTAACTTTTCGAGTCAGCTCAATTCAAGATGTCCAATTTGTAATATTAACACATTCACAGTAAGTAACAAAAATATTTTCTGCACAATATTTTGCAGATAAATTAGAGCATTTTAAAGAGACATGCCATGAAATAGAAGTCTAATGTAACTGKAAAATACTTTATGTAAAAGTAAAGTTTTGATGTCTGATCATGCTTGCTTTTTTCCATTATTAGCTGCCAAAACTACCACAATATGTCCAAAGAACAATGATACAAAATRTGTTCCCTCTCAAACAGCAAATTTGTAACTGTGAAGTAGAAAAATGTTTTTTTAAAGACTTTTGTCTTCTCTGGAAACCCTTAGTCATTATGCTAAAGTGCAGAAAGCTGCAAAGATGATGCTTCTAGTCTGTTTTGTGAAATCACATCACTTTCAAGGATGCACAAGCAATACAAATGTTGCTTTTATCCTCTCTTGACAGTTTTATATGAAGCCGTAAATCATGTTATAGTGAGGCACCTGCGGTTCGCTTGTTCACAGTGGTGAGAAAGCTTGCAGATAGAGGCATTAACGCTGACAGGCTTGCAGATGGGGTGAAATTCTGGCAGCTGACAGATCTGCAGATGCTGCCATTATCGGTGTGTGTTTGGATGACTTCTTGCTTCACGTAAAAGAGTGTGGAAACAAAAGAAAAGCAACCTTTGAAATTCTACTTTAGGTTCTATTTGCAAGCGTGAGATTGTATGTGACATTTTTTTTGCTGGAGCATTTCTGATTGAAAGATAAAACATGAGTGCAGGCAGCCTGAGCTGTAGCTCACWCACCGGAYCTTTCATGTRTCTCAGATTTATGCGGTAAAGTGGMAAGCTGGTGGCCTCACAACCGATTAAAGTCCTAGTCACAGATGAATTAGATATTTCAACAGTGGAGACCTCTGCTGCCCAGGAAATCATAAATGTTTGCACTGTGAGACAAATGTTGTGTACCAAAATAAGCCATGCAGCCTGAAGACCWATTTCTCTTCTATATATTTTATCACTCCACGTGTAAGCAGTTTGTCCATACAAACCCAGTCTGCTCTTTTCAAAACCTACTGTAGTTTCCTATAAGTTTTGGGATATTTTTGTTTCTTCTTAGAAATAAACAGATGAATAGAGTAAAAAATACATTTACTTTGTTACATTACTTAAGTTATTTTTTTGAGGATCTGTAATTTTACCAGGTATTTTTTTCAATTGTAACTTTTTCTTTTATTTCATTCCTTTCAAAACATTAAAATGTACTTTTACTTCATCAAATGCTACAAATTTAAACATGACCAAAACTCATCATGAAAGGAGTTGATTACAAAAATGAAGAGTTAAATTTACATAACCAAGTTATGTCAACTGGTTCCACTGAACCAAGTTGAATAAACTGAGAAATGTAYACATTTTTTTAAAGAAAGTGTTTAAGCTCAACACCTAATTTCTTAGAATGTGTGTAAAAGTACTTTTACTTTCCTGAKTACTGTGAGCAGTTTTAAGGCTTTTAAGTACTTTTCTTATCAGTGAAATAATTTTTACAAAAGTTGTTTACTGTTAAGATATTTTGTAATTTTAGTTAGTTATTTTTTCTAGTACTTTCTATACCTCAGGAAGTAAAACAGCCCAAACACACAGCACCCAGGGCAACATTTAGCTGTGTGGCTTTCTCTGAACCTTCCTTTTAGCTAATTGCTAAAATCATCATGCCGACATACTTTAGCAGGGCTCACATGCTGATGTTTAGCAGATACACTGTATTTTTCCACATCTCCTGTCTGTTTCCACACATAAACACCACAAAACTTCTAGTCATTCAGGTCTGGATTATATCTGCAGTTATTCAGTGTCATGACCCAAAAAGCTATTGTCAGCTGTTTGTTCTTAAAGTGATGCTTTAAGTTTGGCATTTTGCTGACAATGTTTTGATCTTTGTGAAACCAGACATGACATTGTTTCATGTGACGTGTCATCATATCAACAGCAGAGGGAGGAAGTGCAGAGTTGCTTATGAAACCTGGTAAACATTGTGACCCTTGTTAGCATATTTCCGTAAACCTTTTCAAAAGAACCACACTGATTTAAAAGTGTAAATCCACTTATTAAAACCTACTGAGTCACACAAAAAATGCACTGACTTCATAATAAGCTTGCATGAACGTTTCCAAGCTGCTGTCTGACTCAGCTTCAGCAGTGATGAGAAACTGATTTTGTGTAAGAGTCTCTGTGGTGAATATAAGAACTTTACAGCATTTAAAACATAGTTAATGTCTTCTGAAGTAGTTTTCTGAGGACAAATCATTTCGTACCTGTCATAAATATATTTTTGAATGACCTGGAAGAAATAAAATACTTTTGTCTGAGCAGAGGCAAGATCAGCCACCTGTAGTTTGGCCTTACACAGCTATGCAGAGACACCTCCCTGCCCCATAATGCACCAAGGTGAACATGAGGTACAACAGCTAGCTACTGCTGCTACTATTTGGGCTTGTAAATAACCACATACTGCAAGTCAGTATAAATAACTGTGTGYCATAATGGCAGTTGGGCTATTTTTAAAGGACTCAAAGAGTTGACCACAGACACAGTACATAAGGGGAATATTTTTAAAGTACTTTGTTGTTACAGGTCACAAAAAAGGGCTATGCCTTCAGACTGCTAAAGGTCTGGAAGGACAGGAGGATAGTTACTGTAGCATCCAGAGATTTCCTAAAGAATATGCTGTATTTCTTTGTTTATTTGTTGTTAACCTGTTTGTCTTTTCTGTTCAGGAAGTAGGAATTATGGTCGAGATGCCGGAGGAAGAGGGAAAAGAAGAATGAACAGGGTGGCTGGAAAGATGAAGTGGAGAGTGAGCAGGTGAGTTTCCATGTTTGTGTTTCTACCGAGATGCTCTACAAATTAAATTTAAGACTGGTCTTAGTTCACAAAAGGGCTTTCGGCTCAACGAGGGAACAGTTTCAAAACATTGGAACATACGTATAGTGGGAATCAAAGTGCAAAAAAAGTACATACAGGAATACTTAGAGGACACAATCACTGTATTGATTTTGATGGTCTGATGACAGCATTGCTGGCTGGACCACTTCAGAATTACTCCACCTGCTCACAAATTGCAAAACAAAAGAGAAGAAAAGAAAGAGGGGAACTCTTTGTCTTCAAACTAAAGTTGTTCAAAGCGCTATTTACAATATATATTAAATAGMATTTCCACAAAACMTCACTTCAAAAAGTCTGAACTCTATAACTTTAAATTAAAGTCAGAGGATACTAATACAAATCTYGACATTTCGAGGCAACCTGTGAACCTATGGTGGCGCCACAGTGGCTTTAGGTGTTGAAATGTTTTTGTTCAGGACAAAAGTCATTTTGTTTGCCCTAAAAGTCACTGCTCAAAGTTTGGAATGATGTCACTCTTGAGTTAAACATGTTACAGTAAAACAGAACGATTTATGGATTTGCTCRCTATTGTACTTAGTGGTGAGGCTGGCTGCTATTAGCAAAAGAAGCTGATAACAACACATCATTTGCACATACAAACACAGTTACAACATGTTTACTGATATACWGTAGATAGACCAGTAGTTATAAGCACCTTTTCATGTGAACAGTAGTCATGTTGGATTAAGGCTCAGGCTTGAGATTCATTTTGACGTTTGGTGTTAGAAACCATCTTTGGAGAGAGTATTTTTTGTGAAATAACAGTCATAAAACTAAAACCCTGTTTCCAAATGAAACCTGCGAGCACAGGAGAAGCTATCCACAAAGATTTCTTGATGTGACAAACCTCCAGATYGGTTTTATTACTTTTGCTGGGACTTTTATTTTCTTAACGAGGGAATAAAGAAACAGACATTAGGTCTGCCTCAGCTCATCGYGCTCCCACTCTCCCAGGTTTCACTGCAGACACAATAAGGATCGGGTCATAAAACATGGAGTCCAACAGATGCTTGCTGAAGACAACCACAGTCCATTATAGAGCCCGTTACAGACACTCAGGCAGTTTGCTAACCCCTCATCACCCCGGCCCCTGCGCTCCTCGCTGGGTTTTGTCTGTTCGTGTGGACAACTTGAGAGTTACGGCTTGGAAAGGTTTCCTCAAAGCAAAGCTGCACCAGCGCTTCTTTGTAGAAAAACGAACGCCTGCCATCACAAACGCAGATGTTCTTTGTTTTTCCGACCATCTTTGTTTTTATTGTTTTCCCCTTCCCTTTCTTTCCAGCTTCACTTTGGAGCATCTGATGTTTGGGTTCCAAAAAGAATAGTGCTGACACAATTTATTAGGGTAAAGTACAACCTAAACATATGGGCTTGTCGTAGGATTAAATTTATGTTGGCTTTAGTGAAAGGGATGGRAAAGCAGTTCTTCTCCCCAGTTGCTAATTCCCTTGTTGTCAGTGATGAAGTTTTTGAAAGTGTGCTTTAAGCCCGTCACAGGCTATTATTAAACGGTGTAAAACAACTATAGGAAAAAT